TATTATATACATTGTACAATAACATATAACTAAAACTTTAAAGTATGAAGCTGCATTCAGTTATAGTCTTATATTTAGGTGTACAGTACAAATATTTATTAAGGAACAACATATTGACTTGACTTGGTTAATTGAGATATACATATAATATATCCTTATCCTTCCAACACTACAGTTAAACCTACCTTCCGGTTTGAAACAGTCCACCAAGTTTTGCTCGGAAAGGGAAACCAGTTTATTGGTGGATTTAAAATGTTGACCCTCGAGTGACCCCTTTGTGAAGAAAGCCCAGCATGAGCCACATTGACCCTGATTTTTTTCCCCTTTTTCCAAAGGAAAAAAACTTGTAAGTTCAACAAAAGTGCAGTCGTAGCCACAGTTAAGGGTTATAAAGACCTTCCAAAATCTGAACAAAGTTTAATGGATGTCGTATCTAACGTGGGCCCTATTTCGGCCGCTTTAAGGACAGACGAGACGTTCCTTAATAATAGATAAATTTTTCTAAGAGTTTGTCAATGAAGTATTGCTACTTAAACATGTTTACTCACAAACAATTGAGGTACCTTACCAGGCATTTCTGCAAGATACCAGGGGTAGTTTTTCTTATATAATCCTTTGGGGAAGAAAAATAATTTTCCAATTTCAACTGTTTAAGTGTTTGGATTTTTAAAAATGTTTAGAAACTGGTTTAGAAATCAGAATATAATTAAAATTTTGAATAGTTTTCATACAATACGAAGATATACAAAACAGATTTTGAGGAACGTCTCATCTGACCTTAATTACATGCTCCCCAAAGATCCTTTCAATTGTACAAAGGCGGGTTATATGACGAGCCCAACTGTAAATCCAAAGTTGATCATCCCCTTGTAATAGTCGGGTACGGTCTTATGGATGGTAAAAAATAGTGGATTGCTAAAAATAGGTACAAGGACAATATCGGGGTTTTTGTAATACACTGTACTATCCAAAATCTTATCCTTTTATTGAAATATTTGCATATTAAATTATTATAATATACGCTTTTGAATTGTTATTATGAAATTTATATATTTTCAGCTGGGGTACATCATGGGGAAATAAAGGATACATATTGATAACGAAGAATAAAAATAACCAATGTGGTATTGCCAACAGCCTTAGTTACCCCATTATGTGATGAATATCATATGACACTGCATTTGCTTGATGTTCTTAATTTCAATTATCTTTTCTTATCTTACAAAACTTGTAAAAATATATATATATAAAGGAAATTTTATGGGTATTGTGTATCCAAAGATCGTTTTGTATCAATAAATTTTCATTCATCCATATCGTCTTTGTTTTAATTTTGTCAGCATTGCTTGTCAATTATTGTCTGAACAATGTATACTTGCAAAACAATATTATATATCAAATGAATGGTCCAATTACAGGCATACAAAGTGTGGTTTATGTGGATCTTTCCAACAATTTTTGTAGCTATATCTCACCAAGATTTTTCGAAGATTTCAGAAACCTTTCTTACCTTGATCTTTCATATAATGCTCTTGGAGAAAATTGAGAAAATGACATTAACGGTGAAATATTTCAAAATCTCCGTAACGTGAACTCGTTAGACCTTACCCGAAACAGAATCGTACGACTTCCTACCAAAATATTTAGAAATTTGAAACAACTAGAAATTGAGTTATAATTCTCTGAGAGAGTATACAATACCTATCAGTCATATGACTCGTTTGACTCACCTTGACTTATCCAATAACCAGATGGACAAGGACACAAGAGACATGTTAGATGTGATATCACTGGAAAATCTTTTCTATTTGAATTTAAAGAGCAACACATTAAGATGCACCTGTGAAAATCTAGAATTCATGAAATGGGTGACCATATCAAATAATATTGTTTTTCTTAACATTGATGGTTATTTGTGTACTTTTTCAAATTTCTCAGTAATTCAATTTTCTAATATTGAATTACTTCAACTGATAGAGAAGCAATGTTCATCGTTTTTAGTTGCTTTAGAGAAAGGAGCCATGAAGAAATTACCATTCTCATTCATGGACTCGAATCAAAATCCTACTTAGAATTTCTGGAGGGTGAAGATAAGGATGAAATGACAACATTTTGATCTAAACTTGGAGATACATTCAGTTCTTATGAAAATGACCTTAGTTCAGCAGAGATTTTTTTTTTCATAACACTTTATTCAATGAAAACATGATAGCAAAATAACTTTGGGGAAATTACATCCGCAGATGTCCCCCTATTATAACCCTCACTAGGGGTGCCAGGGGCTCCCTAGATTGGATAGCAAAAATAATATGTGTTTGAAAGGTGTAACAGGTATTTAAATCAATAGAGTATAATATAATCAAATTGTATGTTGACAAAGTACGATAGCAAAATAATCTGTGTTTGAAAGATGTAACTATTTAAATCAATATACTAGTAGTATATGATATTATACTAATCAATTTGTATAAGTTCAGCAGAGATAATGGTTGATGGTTAAGATTGTTAATTTAAAATTGTAATTTTTGCTATTATTTATGAAGTGAAAATCGGATCTTTGGGGAAATTATGGCAGCAGTCTGAGCATTTCTTAGGAAATTCCCACTTTGTTTCTATAATGTAAAATAAATAAATCAGAAAAATCACGGTTAAAACGTTTGATATTATCGTCCATTCCATAGAGACAACGCATTTCCGGCTAAAAAGAAAACTCCACTACGACGATATCGTTTTTTGTCTTCAAAATATGCCTTACAGAATAGTAAAAATGTTCAAAACTACGGAATTATTTATTTTTATTTTTAAAAATAATCATGTGTAATGTAATGACATCTCTGATCTATTGAAATTGCTGCTAGAATCATACTCTCCTCTCACATATATAATCTGTCCACACTTACTCATGACTTTTTTTTCGTATATGCACTCAAAGGATTTTTTTCAATTCATGTTTCCTACAAGAATCTGACAGCACTTTTCAAGTGCGAAAGAAAACATGCTCTCAATATGCACAAAACGTATGTGCAACTTTGTTGATAAGAACGACATATACAAACAAAGTTGATAGCGATTTCAAAATCACTTCCTGTCTTCATTATAAGGTATAAAGACAATATAAATTAGCATATCTGATTTTTAAATATTTTATGTTAGAATCACATAGGATGTGCAATATATGTGCATTTAAAATCCCATTGATATATTTTTAGCACGATTTCTTAAACTGTTTCAATTTTACTCTTCAAATAGTTGATCAACAGCTAAGACGTCATGGGGGTACATATTTGTTATCATGCCAATCACTAACCTAACTAATACACCGATAACATTCATGTAATCTGTAAACACAACAATACTATATTCTTTCATTCAAAAATTGAATAAGCATGATGATACATGAATATTATTCATCGAGCAAAGAATTGTCAAGATCTGTCACGCATTGTATGCACAGACTGTTTACCTTTGATAATGAAATCACATGGTTAGTTTACATTCTGATAACTGATACTAGAAACTCTCAATGATAACGCCCTTCTTGGTTATATGTTACATTTTCTTAAGAAATATAAAATGCAGAAACTGTCTTCCGATTATCAGTAGTGTTAACAACTAATCGAGTGATAACATTGCGTTGTCGACAGATGCAGTGTCTTTTTATCAAATTCTTCTTAGACATATTACTTCTCTTGAGAACAGCTTACGCCTGCTTATCAAAGAAGATTATATCCTAATACACTGATCTGAACTGTCGCAGTAATTCACACAGGCAACGGATTGTGTAGCTGCAGAACTGTAGCTCCCCGAAAAAAGTTATATTGATAGACCGGAGAGCTACAGTGCCACCCATTAAAAAAACTGTATTTTTATTGCGCACAAAAAGTGCACGGTTTTTCGATTTTTTTTCTCCATGTTTTTAAAACTGCCATCTCAAAATATGACTAACCGTGAGTTCCTAACACATTCTTTCATTGTTTCCACAACAAAACATTTCTTATAATTGTTTTAAATAGCCCTTCTAGCGCTGAAACTGATATCATTGATTTTTTTTCTGCCATTTTGGTTTGCAAGATAATTCGGTCCAACGCGCTTCGTACAGATGTAAACTACGAAAGTAATTGATTTGATTAAGGATTTTGTTGAAATCTAGCTTTTTTGCAACTTAGTTAAGAATTTAGAAGAATTAATTCAGAACCGAGCACACTTATTTGAGCGCAATAAATATACAGATTTTTCAATGTTGGCACTGTAGCTCTCCGTTCTATCAATATATTTTTTTTCGGAGAGCTATAGTTTTGCAGCTACGGATGGTGTCTCAATTTAAGTGAAAAATAGCTTCTTTTCTTATCGAAATACGTTAAATGAACTTTCGCCCTTTTATGTAGTTTTTTCATTGCTACAATACCACAAAAATTAGAATGCAATCAAAATTATATCAATTATCTAAAAATCATATATAAAACACAGTAAAATAGTCCTAGATTTAGACAGAATTTGAATCTTGTCATCATTATTGTATCAAATATGTATCCAACTGTATTTCATGAAAGATATTTCATTCATTGGTTTTTCTAATAAGACACACACATCTAATAATAAAATTCAAACTCTCTGTTTGAAAATAAAGTTCTTTTCCCCTGTGAATAAATATCATTTTAGGTTTCCATAATAAGCATTATGTCTCGAAAAAGACGATGATCATTCCGCAAATCAGTTGAATTGATTGACAAATAGACTGTTAATAGTAATTCCATTTCTAAAATTTGTGATTTATAAATGTATTTCATATTCAATATAAAAAGTTTGCCGCACGGAACGCCACTATTCCTTCGATCTGATGAAAAAGCGTTATGGAGGAACTAAATAAGATTCTTTAGTTCTCCTCAGAAAATTGTCATCATAATCATCCTAATTCTTTCTCGAAATTCTGATTTTCCCTTTACTGATTCCAAGTTAAAATATCTTTTTAAATAAAATTCGTGTCTTCTGTAACCCATTCCACATGTAAATATACTATTTTGTTTGAATAACATCTTCATTGGGTGTTCTGTCATCTCTGTAGAACTAGATTTGTTTTGATATAATTCACGGTTCAATGCTAACTCTTCCGCGGCTAAAAATATATTAAAAAGAAAAAAGATGATCGTGAGGCAAATGTGAACACAATTCAAAATAATGTTATTGTGAATGAGTTCAGGTGTTTATACGATTTTGGACAAACTACATAAGTTGTATAAAGACTTGGGCTTTAGTTGCATTATTTCTTACTTTTCAGCAAGATCATATCACTCTAGGTATTTCAAAATTTGAATTTTTCCAGTAAGTACATCTCCGACAACTATGTTATTGTCAGTACCAATGCTCAATCCTCCGTTACATGGATGTTCTAAATAACAGACAAACTCGCCATCACTGTTTATAATGTGGATAATGTTGGTTGTGCATTCGCTTATCAGTATTTGATTTTTGACATCGGTAACAATGTGATATGGTCTAAATGCTGTGTGCTCTAATTTTATGGCATTCTCACCACGTTTAAATAGTGCTTCACCAGAGAAGATCACAGGTGATGGATCACACTGTTTGAAATCTGACTGCTTGGAGAGTTTGCCTTCATACTTGAATCTTAATTTTCCAAAAGAATCTACGACAACAACTGCCTCACCTGCACAGTCAGCAACACAGATGTCACCATTGCCATTCTCAGTCAGGAGAAGCATACTTTCAACACCAGTAGAAAACAAAGGCTGTCCTTGACTATCATTCTGGAAATTCTGAATTTCTGTTCTTGATGCATATTTCACTACCCTGCTCTGTGTCCCATCCACTGAGCGCATGCTCACTAGTAGATCTCCATTTCCTGTGTAACAGAGACCAACAGGAAACCAGTCAGGTGTGCTAATCAAAACCTCTACCTTTCCCTTACTATAAACATATACATCTGTGTTTTTACGAATTAATGAACTTAAAGAAAATACTGGTTCCTGTTGCAAATTAACAGTTAATGCTATTACTATACCATCTGTAAGAATTGTTTTCAGAGTGAATCCAGTCCTATATATAAGTGTGATTGATCTATCTTTTCCACTGATCAAGATTCTATCCTTCCCAATGCATATAACTCTCGAGAGGTGCTTCTGAACGATTTGGCATTGTATTGTGCTTAGTATAACAGGCTCATCCATTACTTTAAGCATTTCAGCTTTTTTGCTTTCTTCATCGCCAATCTGGAGAAAACCAAGCATATCCAAAATTTGGTCTCTTTGAACAATACCAGGTAACAGCTTCGGTAAAGAAAGTTTGGAACATTCTGGGCCTTTACGAAAATCCTTATTTCTTGAATGATAGTTAATCATGGCTTTTCCATCATTATTCCTTAAAATACATTTGTTTTTTTTAATGATTTCATTTAGCTCTTGTACAGTTTTGTTTGCCCCGTTATCCTTTTTCTTTTCTATAGATTTCTCGGTCAATCTTTTGACTTCAAATTGGAGTTTCATGCTTATTTCATGTACTGCTTTCGTAATTTCGTGCTCTTGTTTTTCTATAGCTGAGCAAACATTTTCAGACTCCTTTAAAATTGTGGCTTGGTTGTTATTTCTGTAAATTGGAAGTATTGTATTTTCGAGTTCATCTGTGTCATTCAGAATTTGTTGTTTCTGGTTTTGAAGAAAAGTACTGATTTCAGTAAAGTCATGTTTCTTATGGGAACCCACAATGCATTGTGTACATGTTTGTATTTTGCAATCTAGACAATATGTCTCACATATGTTGTTCTTGTGCGTGGAACATGAGGGAGGAACAACGGTATGCCTTTTTTGCGAAGTGTACTCAACAACTTCATGCCTTCTTGATTTGTCAGCCATGTGTTGTGGTATGCAAGAGGGACAGAGATTCACATGACAAAGATTGCAGTGATGTTCCACAGGATTTGGACACAGATTACATAAAATAACATCCTGTCCCCAAGTTGAAGCCATATCTATTGCACACCTGTTCAGAAATACAATGCAGAATCCATGTTTACCAGCAATTGGTATACATAATCGGATTACTTTTTTAAAAATTCAATCTATGCTTCATTTTATTGATGAAACACATATAGATAACGTACAATATTCAAAATCAAAAGTCAAAATACAAAACAGAAGCAGAACAAACACAGACCTCCAAAATACTAGAGGTGGGATAAGATGTTTTGGAGAAGTGAGCATCCCCTTCCGACCGATCACATCCGCCGTGTGCTCTTTGTCAAGATTGTGAAAAACGGAAAAAGCCGTCGTTGATACAATGTATAAATAATGGACTAACAATAAGTTTGAAAAACATCAGTCTGCATTTGACTCAATGATAAATTGTATTTTCTGACAAGGCCATTGTACCGACCATAGAACTTACAAAATGATGACTTTAAAGGAGTCAGCTGAAATTTTTGTTTCATCAACTTGTTTGTCAATAATATACCTGGTTTTAGAAATTCTTCATACGTAAAGCATGCTCTTGCGTATCGAATTTACTGAGATATATAAACTCCGTATGCAGGTGATGAATGTATATTGCTGCTTAAGTAAGGGAAAATGACGATAGGAAAAGTATCACGTTTATCATAGAGCTTGGTTGTTAGATTACCATTAACGTTTTCTTCAAGTAAAACACCCAAGTATGAAACAGATGTGTCAGACTCTGATAAAATTGCTTATTACAGTGAACACAAAAATGTGTATATTTATGTATGGTTCTACTTGGTCCAATTTAAATGATACACGGAAAAAATGTAGCTAAATTGGATACTCACTCCTTCTGCTAAATCTTAAAGGATTCCTTCAAATAGTAACCTTTTGTTTTGTATTGAAGCTCCTGTACCTTTATACATTCGATATCTTACTTCCATTTATAAAGCAAAAAATAAGGTTATCGTTTTGAACTCGACTCATGATATTGATTAATAAAGTGCAAAGTCAAATTGATTTAACGTTGCAAAATAAATAATTTGAAGAAGAAATTCGTGATGGATTTATCTATTATCCTACATACATGTATCCTCTCATAATTATCATCTAATCATCGAAAGGTTAAAGAACAAGGATCAAGGTGCATTATAGTAGAATGATCAGTCTTTATTCTAGTTTTAAAGAGGCTGTTTGGTTTTTGAGTATTTTCAAATCGCTTCTGTGTTCAATAATTAAATGTAAGCTCTGATAATTTTAAATTTTTACCTACTTTTTATAGTTTCCTTCATACGTGTTCAAGAACTAATTCGATGTTGATATCGACAATATTAACAATATTATTTAGATAAAGTATCGTTATCAATTGTGATCAGCACTATTTATTGGAAATACTTAGTACCATATATGAGACTTTGAGCTATGTCGATGTCGTCGATATAGACAATACCATGGCAATATCGTATCGATTTTAGTTTTAAGTAACACTTGTGAAAACAATATTAAGGATGGAAACCATATATATTTGAACAAACCTGATTCGATATCGTGCAGATATTGACAGTGTGAAATTTTTCTTAAAACGGGAAATATTGTAATAGATACACAAGTATTGAGAAACATTGTAGTTAACAATAAAAGAAGTAATATGTTGATATCGTAACTACATCGTGTCTTGTACATAAGTCGTTCTTTCTTAGTCATATAAATCGTCTTGACTGCCTCTTAATAACTGGTGTATTGGAATTACAGAAGGAATTTTTGTTTTCAAGTACTTGCGAATAGTTCCTGACGCAGGTTCATTGAAATATGCTACTTACATTTTGGAATATCATTTTGGATTACAAAAAGAAGTATTCGGGGGAGTTTTGTTATGAAAGGGTGTAACTGACTATATATAGTAGAATCCCTACCTGGAAGACTACCTACCTCTGAGACTACCCGTGGGGGAAGTCAGACTTCCTGCGGAAAATTATAAATAAAAACATCTAACCACATCTCCTAGGGAACGGCTTGCATCAAGTACGTGTACGTGCCTGAACATTTAACAAACATCATTTGAAAATTTGATTGATAAAGTATTGAGGCAAAAAATTGAAAAAAAAATATCGAATAAACCCCGCCCGGATCTGCATGCCTAATTTTACATACACTCGTAGCAAACACCCTACCACGTTATAATGCCGCACTGAATTCGCCTTCATTGAATATGCGTCATTGTTTGTGTGACTGAATTAACCTTTGAAATAGAGATTATCATAATTATTATTTAAGAAACCCTATCAATTTAAAAGACAGTAAAATGAACTTACAAGAATAAAGCAACATTGAAGTAAGGGCAAAATGAAGAATGAGACAAGTTCAAAGCGGAATGTATTTTTAAAAAAATTAAAACAATAAAGTGACATATAGTTACACAAATAACAAAGAACAAAGAAGTAGGTAGATTAAGAATAAAAGAAAGATAGAAATACTTTGGCGGCATTTCCCTTTCATAGCTGTTCGTCTTACTAGTACCATTGTCGTTTATTCCAATCCTTTTCGACGTCACAGCTCCTTTATTTCGAAAAAATCAATTGATTATTCCAAAAAAAAAACAAATCTTAGGGCTTGAGATGTTATTAATATTATTTTTTATTTTCTTCAATGTTTTTTTTTTTTAATTAAGAAAATAAAAGTGAACTGACAAAATTACAAACAAGGATCAGAAAATGGAATATGTCACATAACATGAGTCATATGTGTTCAGGAAACTCTTTATTGTATTTTATTAACATTTCTGACTTTTTCCCTGGTAAATTTCAAATTATTTAAAGAAGGAGTGTGTACAAGGCAAAAACAATCGCCCGCTATGGAAAAAATTTTTCAATTTCGAAAATTTAAGAAATTTAACATTTGGCTAAAATTATTCTTCAGTAATTCATCTTTTACTCATTTGATTTATTTGTTTCATCAAGCTACTTATTTAAAATTGATGATATGTTTTGTTTTGCTTTGGGTTTTTTTTTTTTTTTTGGAAGGGGGGTTCTTTGTTTGTTTGTTTGTTTTTTTTTTTTTTGTTTTTTTTTGAATGGGGGTTAAACATATCCAGTGAAAAATGACTTGTCCTTCTGATGAGACACGATAAAAATATCTTATCTTATATTATACTTATATAAACCAATTAAGCTCCCTTGTCGCAGTAGGTGCTGGTATGAAAAAGATCCCTCACAGCCCAATAGCCGTAAGTGCAGAGTATAGAAAAAAATATGCATACGTCTACCAGCAAGTGGTGGCATCTCCATACGAAAGAGAAATTCTTGAGAGGGATATTTAATAACATACAAACAAGCCCATGTACATAAACACCTTGCCCCAGGGTTTTTTCTCTGAAGTAAGTTTTCAGTTCAACATGCCCTTTCTCTTAACAACCCTAACAATAGAAACTAAAAAAGGATACTTCATGCATTTGATAAATTAATGATTAATTATGCTATTTTTTAAAATTTATAATTGATTAACCATGATTGTTTAGTACAAGGCTTCAATTTTTCAGTCATAATACACTGACTTCACCAAACCATTTAACAACAAGTATTACAAAATATAACATATATAATATAATAAATGTGATATGCTTCATAAAGACTTTTTAACAATATTATAAAAGGAAAGTTATATCAATGTGTCAATTGTAGATTTCTGTATACACTGAATTATCTGATTACAAATACATATTCAAAACTTTTTTTTTTAATTTGTTACAGGAGTCGGGACAGAATACATTTTGAAACTGATCATGCCTTGGTCAAATCAGAGGAGTTTCCTCGGTCTTTCAGAGAGATGGCAAAGAGATCTTTCAACATGAAGATGATGTGCACATAATGTGATTTTGAATCAAACGTTGGAGATAAAGACCTGAAAACTTCCTACCAAATAAACCTGTCTGCTTGTTAATTATTCTTTGTCGTATACTTCAATTTCAGTAATGCTCTTTATTTCTATCAATGATGCAAGTGATTATTCAAGATC